AACATATTTCATAATTGACAAAATCAAGTTATTACAAATCTCAGACTTAGTTCATTATATTCTGTATACAATAGTATTGATCAGAATAAAACCATCATTTCTTTTTTATAGAGAATCTATTATGTTCCACTTATCTTATATATTTATAACAACTTTAAAGATTATACTATACAAGTCTCTTGACTAAATAATTTAAAACATCAAACACATAATAAGCTTAGCTCACACTGCTCAGTTCTTGCTTATATGAATAACACCCTTTGGATTGCATTCTTATAACAAAAACTATTACAAATTCTTTTCATAACTGAATCATTCTTTAACATAGCTAATATACAAATTAATCTTTCTAAATCAGTACTTACAACTAATAACAAACAATCTAACTATACTCTTATTACATATAACAATTATTCTCTTAACCTCTATCTACTAAATGAACCATTTAAATTTCTTGAATATTAGTTTACACTTAATAACATACAAGTCAAACAAATTAAACTTATTATTTTAGAATTATTACATCTTGTCAAAATTGTAAGTACCAAACAAATTACTAATATACATATATGTTATATCATAAATACTGTTATTATTCTCACAATCAAATACTATCTTTACAACATTGTTCTTAACCAATATACATATAACAAAATCCTTACAAATCATATAAGTCTTGTTAAAATAAAGTTAAACTTAGTCACACAATTCCTACTAGCATACTACTTCACTTTTAGGTATACAATATTTGTAATATATAGAATATTCAACTACAACATCATATTACAAACTTTATCAAAAAACTTAATTCTCCTAATTTATTAGGCATAAGTACTGATATTAGACTCCAACAACTTTAGAATAACTTGTGATCATCTACTAGTATTCTAATACATGACAATCCTATTATTAATAAATCTAACAAACATACTATTAACTTTAAAATTATTCAACTTTTCAAACATTTTGGTATTACATTCACATCTAATCCATTATATAATATTCTATACACTCTTTAAAAAGGATCTATTTTATTTGAATTACTACTTTTATCACATTCAAAATATCTAACATTTAAAAAACAACTTTGATACTATTGCATTCTTTATTTAGATCAACTAACTACATTTGATAACTCATGCCTTTTAGATTGGAAACATATATCTATATGCATGAACAAAATTTTTAAAAACAAACAACCACTCTGGTTTAACTATCTAAAAGATCAAACTACAAGCTACTTACACAATTGTACTCTTTACCAACCTCTACATTTATCTAATACAAGCTATTATAGTTATTTAACTAAACACTTTTTTTATAAAAAAAACTATGGCTTATTATAGTACTTAACAATCAAATCATTACTAGCAAAGCCAGAAAATAATCCTTTTCTTCAGAAACTATTCTTATTACTCATTGGCAATGTTACATAAAACAGCAATTTATTTGTTTATATTCACTTCTGCCTATTCAATCACAAGCATACTCAGACTGCTCTCTTAACTCCTATACAATTGCTAATAAATATATAATTAATATTTCTATTAACCTTATTTTTAGATTTTTTGGTCAAGTTAATACATATAACAAAACTCTTAACTTCAATGCCAATCACCTTGATCTCATATACTCTATTGCAATTCAACATCCTATTCAAATTCCTAATCATTCTAATATTAATATTACAATATACTTAATTCTAACCATATTTGAACCTGGCATTCTAACAGATAATCTTCAACAAATTACTAACTACAATGCACAATTATCAGAACTTTATTTTTATACTGATGGCTTAGTTATTAACCTGAATATCTCATAATGCTCTATAGGTATCTGATAGGTTCAAATCCTAAACAATAATATATTATATATATTCTAAACCCAAACAAGATACTGGTCTTGCTTATTTAAGTCTGAGCTCATTGCTATTTTATTAGCTCTTATTACTGTTCAAAAAAACTATACTATATACATATATACTAATTTACAATTTGTAATCTTCAAATATTATAGCCTTTTAAACTTAACTTATATTTTATTTTATATACATATATCATACTTTTTATTATAAAACTCACTTATTAATTTTGTCAAATTATACAATATTTATATTATTTTTCACAAAGTTAATTCTTATTAGGATAATCAATACAATAATCTTGCAAACCAACTTGCATGTAGTCTTTACAATTTGTTATATCTTATTTTTATGCTTTGCAATATCTACAACCTTGCATATACATTAAATTTTAAAAACTTTCTTTTAAAATTACTCATTCATTACAGTATTTGTACAATATACTATGCATATATTTACACATTATAGATTACACAAAATTATTTTTAAAAATAGTACAAAATCCTTAAGCAAGTTAATTGGCAAGCTACCTGGTTATATATCAACAACAATTAAAAAATTTCAAACTTTTTATATAGCTTTTAGTTTTTTACTCTTAAATTCTTTAGAATTAAAATTCTACTAGATGATCTTCCTACTTTACACATTTTATACAAACAATATTACTTATACTCACCTACTTGTCATTACTGTCATCAAATCAGTTCTCATCTTTACTAGATAACTTGCCTATCTAATTAACTGTTATATAGTCTTATCGATACTTTATTACAATATATTTTAAATACTAAAATACTTAATACTATATCAAAATACTATAACAATCTATACAACCAAATCAAGTTGTTGAATAGTATAACTATTTATAATATATTAGGCTTATCTTCAATTTTTTCAACTCTAATAGGTTTAACACCAAATGAACTTATTGACATTATTGCAATTTTATTATTTAAAAGAATAGTTATAATACTTATAATCAAGTTTTTATTTTATTTTAATTAACAAATCTATTATAAAATTTGGATTCTATATTGTATTTCAAGATCTACAATCCAATCTCCTTAATATAACACATCTTCAAATGCTGTCTTACTTCTATTATACTTTCTTTTATTTAATTCTATTAGTTCAAAAATAAATTCTTAATATATCCAATAGATTAAATATTAAACTAATCTTTTACATATAATTACTAACACTTAAATCTAGATGAGCCTTGGCCACTTTGGTTGATTTAGGTCACAGATAAATTAGTCTAAGTTTCTATTCTTTCTATAATATTTTAAAAACAAAATTGTACTTTATATAAAATCTCAATTAAATATTTAATAAAGATGAAAGCATGACCTTACTATTAATATTAAAAAATATATATACTCTTTTTGTAATAGTTTTACATAAAACCATATTATCAAAAAATATTAATAAAAATCAAAAAATTCAAGAGATTACCTTAAAAAAAATATATATTAGCTCTATTTTATAAATTAAATATAATATATTATTAAATTATATACTAAATATTCAAATTTAAATAAGCTTTAATTATTCTAATAAGTTTAAATTATAAATAAATTTTTATTTTTATATATAATTTTTAATTTATTTATTTTATACAAATAATAATAACTGTATAATTAACAGTTTAATAGTTAACCTTGATTGCAAGTATTAGCTTCAATTATAACATACATATATATATATAACTATTTTAAATTACTAATAAAGATTTAAGCAATACTTTCACCTTAATACCAAAAAAAAATAAAATAAAAAATCAATTTTTAATTATTCTTATTTACAAATTTGTATTCTTATGAAAACTCTGAAAATATTAATTTCAAACAATGGGTAAGATAACTTTTTTAAGTGACAATTTTACCATCACCTAAAATTTTTCTTAATCGTTTAATTTGACCGACATTAAAATAATTCCAGCCCATGACTAACATAATTCTGCTCGGAACTATGAAGCAATTTTTAAACGGCTAATAAAATTTAATTCAGTTAACATTAATTTAGTACGTATTCAGTTTAATGCATATGCCACTCTCAATATAATGTAGTACCTCAGGTAGTGTTCCGAGTTGGTAAAATTTTTTTCAATCAATTAATTGCCAACTATAGTTGCAACTAATCAACTTTTTCTATCATGTGACTAAGTTAGTTGATTGGCCAATCAAACTGAATTTAACTAGTTGATGATCAACTAGTTGTTTATCAAAATTTTCCAAATCGATTATTTGGAAAAGTTGTCAACTAGTTGGTTTTTCAATTTTATTAATTTTATTATGTAGTAAATCCATTATATCAAGTAGTATTTATTATAATTATATATATCAAGATTTTACTTAGTCTCCGTTATATAATATAAATTCTTACACTTTAAATTTACTAAGACCCTTGCAAAAAAAAATCAGCAGTTATTCAAATCCAACAATTTATTATCCGAATGTAGACAATTTACATTACAGATAAAATCAATTTATATTTAATCGCATAATTTCGACTAGTCACATAATAAGCTTGCCTTCTTTAGAGATGGCGATTAGTAAAATTTTTTGATCGATCAAATTACAATAGATATTCTACGTATTCTGAAGCGCCGATGCAGTTTCAGATTTCTGCGTCTGTTACGATTCCAGGGATCTTAGTGAGTTAACTTAATCGTAATTATTAAATGGTTTTACGATTCCAGGAGAGCCTGTCATGAATCGCAAAGTATTAAATGGTTAAAATAGTTAAAGCGAGCGAAAAGCGAAAGTTATACAGACGACTTTATTATGTCGGTCTTTTATTAAATCAAAGGTAGCTATCTCTACTATTAACGACAAGCAGCCCTTTATCTAGCTATTTTACTAACACTAGAAAGGAAAGAAATCATTACGCAGCAATTAAACAATAATCTTTTAATTATCAACAATGTAGTAAATGAATTTTGTACATAGAATTAGTCTGAGCATAAAAGTTATTTTCTTTTAAATTTATGAACAGCAAGTCACACGAATAACGTGCAGTGAATACATATAACACAAATGACGAATGGTGTGAGGCATGATAATTTAATGGTCGACCGACCTTACCTCGGAAAAATTTTTTTTATGACAAATCAGATGATCGATTTATTTACTAATTAATCATCCCTAGCCTTCATCATAAGTTGTATCAAACTTTTTTCTGCCTCTTCGACTTTACTTACTATATTATCCATCACCTTTGTATTTTTTTCAATCGACCGTAAATGAGAAGAAATTGACCTTTTGATTTCACAAAGTTCATGATCTTGTTCGGGCTAGACATATGAAGATCATAAATTCAAATTGCTAAAAACTTTGACGAGATAATATAAAAGTGTCAGAAGTACTCACATCCCAAAGGGACGATGATCGATCTTTTAATGGTTTAAGATGCCCTTTAATTAATTCATCATCTACTTCGATAGCGTCTTTAAATTCATTCTTTAAAAGCGGGTGAAGCTAATGTAATTGGCAACAAAAGATAATTAATCTAATATATCTGACATAAATAATGGCATGAACGTTATTTTGTTACGGTTCAAATTACATTTAATTCGAGACGTAACACAAATAACACGATTTCGAGATTTTACGGTATATGCTTGCTCACGTTTGAACCTTACTTTTGTCCTATGAAGCATTTTATTTCTAGTTTCAACTGCTTTTTTATCGCTTTTGAGCTTTGCTAATATTTTCGTATCTTCATCCAGGAGCCTTGTAAACCAAATAAATAAGTGTAAATAACACTGAATATGACATGTACCTACCAAAATTAGACAATTACTCACAATGTCTCGTGTTCTAGTTTAATTTCCATTTGACCTATTTGCTCTAATTCATTGGCTAACGCCATCTCCAATGCATGCTATTTGATTAAATGACCTTTTAATAAAGCTGTGCATTTATAGGGTTTTTTGTGAAAAATGATCCTACATTTTGAGAATGAATCTTGTTGTAGTCGAAACTTGCTTTCTTCGAGTATTTGGGTACTGGAAGCGTCTCTAGCTTTTTGTCAATTCTTGACGCGATTACGATCAGAAAAATAGTAAGCCAACATGGCGAAAGAATTGTTGAACATTTAATGAAATGATTCTGTTTTACTTCAAAATTAATTTATCCAACAATCTTTGCAGCTCAGACTTTTTCTTTCCACGAAGGCCATTAATTACGACTCTAATTATTAGAGGATTAGGGCAAATTTGATTTTACATGTTCAAGACAAAAAAATTTACAGTTAAAAAGAATCTTACGGAATTGTACTGTTTAAAATTTCACGAAAATTTTGTCTAGATTTTTCGCTTAA